TTTAAACAAATTATCGTATATGACGTCATCTTTGATAAAGCGGGGGTTGCAGACTGGCTGTCGCCTCGCCTTGGGGGGCTGGTGATTCAATTACCCAGTCGTTTTCACACTATAATCAAGCAGAAGGTGACTGGTTAATCTGAACTAATGGTCAGTAAAATGAGCAGTAATGAAATCTAGCGGCGATTATCTTCGGCTAAAATCTAATCAGCTTGGGTGTCAGATGGCCGTCTCAACATTATAAGCAGTGTTAGCGCTTTAGACAACTGCCGGTTCGGACACAAGATAGCATCGTCTTTCTATGGTCTAGCGGTCAACAACCAAAGATAACTACAGTCGTGAACTTTTCATTTGGGAGCCACTTCAAAGCGCTTAAGATCAAAATAACGTATAATATAATACACTATCAACCACGTCATGTATTTGTAGAGTTTCACATTTCCAAAACATGCCTTAAAGACCAATAAGGCACCATACTAATTACACGTCTCGGAGTATTAATACGCCCATTTTATGATCAGTGGCTCTCATGTAGATTAAGATGTTAGAAACAGGAAGATGGTTTAGAAAAATCTCTTTTTATGTTCAGAAAAGAAAACAGTAAATGATGCCTTTTAACTCTGGTAAAATTCGTGGGAAATATAAGTGTCTGGATTTTAAACTCGTGTGTATACTCATCGATGTTACCATTTTTTTTTTTTTTTTTTTTTTAACAACGCTCTGACGTCATAAAACGCAATGATGTAAAGTGCCACTTTAATTTTATTTAGGTTTTCTTCAGGTCATCTTGTCTGTATTCAGGGAGGTAGAATGAAGGGCGTAGAAGTTTCTTGAGACAAAAGCGCAACAAAATGTGTTAGCGCAGTGAGTAAGACGTCGGGTTCGATCCCGCTGTTGGCCGAGAAAGTTCCCAGGGATTTTCCAGCGTGGTTTCTCCTTGTCAGTGGTGCAGGACGAAGGGATATGATGAAAACCAAAAGGTCCTGTGTACACATTGGCGTGCACTTAAAAGAACCATTGATAGTTGGAATTCGATATAAGAGTAGGCCGTAGTTCCGCTATCCGGACACTGTATGGCGCATGTCCTTCTTCATTAGCCCATTCGGTACAGAAAAGCAAACCTTTAAACCCCATTTCATTTCATTTCTTCTCCCTATTTTTGTACTCTGTTTTAATTGAGCTAAATTTGGACTTTTTCAGTTCAATTGCGAGTAGAGCATATTTTTTTTTGCGGGATAGGGGTAAAAGTAACCATCTATCATGGCTTACTATCACGATTTAAATATATGTTTAAAACCCCATTGCTAGACCCGAATATTTGAAAACCTAAAGTTTGGTCACGTTGACATGCTATAAAAGAACGGATAGATAAGTTTTATACGATTATGGGAAATTCTTGTAATTATTTTAAGTCAGGCTATATATCAATTTTCTTCTTGCAGAATCTAAAAGTTTGAAGATTTAAGCTTTATTGCATACTTTTGTCATTTTTTTGTTCTTTGGTTTATTTGGATTTTTAAGCGCCTAGAGAGGTGGCTGCCTTTATTTAATTCAGAGAACAAGATTGTAATCAGCACAGAGCCATAAAATCATCCATAATTCCACTATTACACGCAGAGCTAATGAATTGGTCGCCATATTGTCTAGAGTGTGTTTGAAGCACGAGGTTACATTGCCATTAATTGTTGCCAGACCGATCAATTACCCCAGACTTTGAATTATACTCATAATTAATAAACAACAATATCAGTGCATGTGGCGCAACTGTCAATCAATGTGCATGTTTTCGTTAAGTAGCGAGACGCAACGCAAGAAGTTGTAGAAGCGTATCATGACCAAAATTTCGGAAGAACACCGGCGATGCGATTCATTCCATTTGGAACATTTTGTATCTCTGACAATTATAAAATATCCCGTTCAGCCTTCTAAGCTAGATACTGTACTCGCAATTGAAAATTTCGGAAGTACACCGACGATGCGATTCATTCCATTTGGAACATTTTGTATTTCTGACAGTTATAGAATATCCCGTTCAGCCATTTAAGCTAGTACTGTACTCGCAATTGAACTGAAAAACCTTCTCTTACAGTCTAGATAGATTTCTTAATGCTATCAAACGTCAACGATCTGTTGAAACATCATTAGTATTAAACCTCACTAGATCAGAAGAAGAAAACGAAGACGGGATTTTTTTTTCTCGTAAAAATAAAACCCACTTAGCCACTTAGTCACCCTGCCCCCCCCCCCCCACACACAAACAAACACACGAAATGACATGAAATGTGGTTTATCATCCTAGTGTCTTGCTCCTACTGGGATAATTAAGACGCGCATACGCCATGCAGTATTCTACGGGGGGAAATGTTGCCCGGACAGCAGCGCTATGGCCTACTCTTATTTCGACATCCAACTGTCAAGGGTTCTTTTACGTACACCCAAATGTGTACATGGGAACTCGGGTTTCCGTCGCACCCGAGCGGCTATACGTCGGCCCTTGCCAGGCCTTCCGTCCTAACCACTGACAAGGAGGAACCACCCCGGAAAATCCCAATGAACTTTCTCGGCCAACGCGGGGATCGACCACGGGACCTCCAGGTTAGCGAGCCAACGTCCTACCCACCGAGCCACCGCGACTCCTCACATACAAGCATGCATAATTATAGGTATACAAGGATATAATTACGATAACATACATGATTGGTACACAAAACCTCCTAAGCATTTTAATAGTCTGTTCATCATCAATATTTTGAATTGTTGAGCATCGTTCAAATTCATTGATATAATATCCCGAACCGTCGCAAAATCTGGATACACGAACAATAAAGACAAGACTTGGAGGAGAGTAAAAGTTACGCCCGGGCAGCGGCGTACGACATACCTACTCTTATTTTCCATTCCAACTGTCAACGGTTCTTTACGTGCACGCCAAAGTGTACACGTGACTTTGGCTTTTCGTCTCATACGAAGGACTCGGTTCCTAGTCCGTTCGGCACCATGGACAACCACGGCGGTAAATACCGAGGAACGATCTCGGCCAACACCGGGATCGAACAAAGTGATCTCCCGAGCCCGAAAAGAGTAAGAGAAAAGTAATAATTTTACAGTAGTGGAGTGAAAATGTATAATTTTAAGCAGACGTTTACCAGGGGTTGTCGGTAATTGACATGGATTCAGACGATAAATAAGCCGTTTTGAGATTATTACTTAACAAAATAAAAACTTCTCATCACCGCCATATTGTTTATATAAATACATACAAATAGTACTCCCCCAAGCCCAGACGTAATCCAGTATGTCGACGACTAGTAGATTATGACCATATTGTTAATCTTAGCGGCTATATATAAGACATTGTAAATGTTAATCCCGGTTAATCCATTCTTCGTGATAAAACCGTTTATGTAGGTATAAGTTTTAAGGATAAGTCTACTCAGTCCAAGTCTAGACTATATATTACAGATCATTAATTCATGACCGTTAATAAGCTCTTATTATTTCGATGATTTATGATATCAGTGGCTATCGATATGTTATCAAAGCGATCATTTGTACCACATGGTTTCAATTTAACCGCTTACAACACTTTTACAACACCTGATACCACTTCCCATGAGAGAGAGAGGGAGAGAGAGAGAGAAAGAGAGATAGGCGGGGGGGGGGGGTTCATCTATTCTAAAGCGCAAATGCATTACACCATTCGGCCCACCCCGGCCGTCAATACGAGAAGAATATGTATATTCTGCCTCGTGAACGACACTCCACACAACGTGTTTTATGATTATGTTAAGTAAACAAGATAAGGGTTCGAAAACTTGGACAAGAAATCATCAAATGAGAGAAGGTATCAATTTCATCACAGACAGCAAGGCAGATATAAATGTGAAATAATTTGAACCGTGACAGAATTTTGAGTTTACGGGTCGACTATTCCGTGTTCAAGTACGGAACGTCAAACATGATGGACGGATCTGTATACACATCCGAAATATTTACATATTTGCACATTTATTATTTTGGCAATTAAAATTTAAAACTTAATATTTTCTTTCACATTTGAAAATTTAAAAGCAGACGACAGGATAGAAACGAGGCTTGAGATAATAATACGACATTCTTGTTGATGTATTTGCCGCGAGTAGTTTTTATTCGCATTTTATGATTAATGGCCGACGTGATCGTATCTGTCGTTTCTTGGTTGTAATCTGATTCCCTTCTGCCTGTTTGACAACCGTCATTAATCTAGTCGCCATTTTTACAACACTTTTGACTGCATGAATCCAGATAACATGTAAAACTTTAATATATCCGTTCGCGGAATGTTTTATGTCGACCGTAACGCCCGATTCGGTTCCCCTACTGCTGTGACGGCAAATCTATTTATTTTTTTACCCCTGTTTTTCTTGATTATATAATCTCTATTGAAATGTTTTGTGGTAATTATTTTAATTGCCCCGTTCGGTTTATTCATTTTGTAATTTTCCTGATAACGGGGGGTGGAGTGTCATTAAATAGGTAACTCCGTGTTTTTTGTTCCCAGTTTCCTTACAACACAAAAGCGATCAAGTGAGCAGTCCATGTTCAAACAATGGTTTTCCGTCACATGTAAAACTTTCTTGGGATTTTCGCTGTCAACGTCACAAGTTCTGGTTGTCCACTTAACTGCGCGAGCGGCTATTCTTGCTCTCTACATTTAAACAAAGTCAAACAAAAGCTACTACCGTAATCGCTTTGTGATCAGTATATACACATTGGTTTAAAATCAACAGGCCATTCACGTTGACAGTACTTAATGTACTCAATGTCTGGCCAGGCAGTCTGGCGCCGCTTAACATACAATACCCATATCTTTCTTTACACATTACTCCGCCTCTAGCCCCGCCTCTACTATAAACCGACCACACAAACAACAGCTTAGTAGTCCGGGTTATAAGGACGAGAGTAAACAATGGTAGTGCAGCATTAGAGGCTGGTAAATGGTGGCTATGTTTGATTGACAGTAGATGTAGAGATTTTGAGTATACTATAAACTGTTAGTTAGAATCAACATGTAGACATAGCAGAACACGATGTCCGACTTGCAATATTAGTGAAGCCATCATTTTCATTTGGATATTATAGCTGTTTACATCGAGAGTAGGTGGTTGGACCTCATGGCCTCCTCGCCCTGGTTCATTTTACTTCTTGGGACCTGCCTAGCCGTCACCGAAGGTGAGTTTTAAACGAACCGTGTTAGATTCGGTTCGCGTGTGTTTGTATTATTTGGATTTTACATTTTCTACTATTTTATCTAACAGTCACACTTTCGTGTGTAACATTTCATAGTAACATAGGCATACTGTCTATTCATATGCATATTAAACTTTTCGTGTATTCGCAAAGTTAAAAACGAAACACGTTCAAATTTCTGTTTAGTTTTCTGTCTCGCTTGTGTATTAGAGGCGTCTTGGTTTAGGACCCCTATATCGATCGTTTCAACAACACCACGTAAAGTATCGCTCTACCATGTGAAACTCTTTGAATGAACCATGTGTTTAGAAATTGGAGAACATATTATTGTTTTATCAGTAAAAAAAAGGAATACAATTGTTTTGTCTTCAGCCTGACATCTTATCCATAACATGTCATATTTTTCTTCTTCGTTATCGGCAAATAAACTCCCCCTCTTCAAAATTTTATTTACAATGTCATTAGATTTGAAGTGGGGCTATATATTTCGTAGGAAACAGCTTTGTGTTTTGCCCAGGAAACATATAAGGGTTCGTTTTAGCAATTAAAATTTCATTAATATAGCATGTCCAAATTGGTTAAATCTGAACAAGAATATGGTGTGTATATATATTTCACCAAAAGAAGACGTTGTGCAACATTTAGCTTAAACGTTTCAAATCAATAGCTATGTACTGTTGTGGAGTTGTCAAAATGGATATTCGTGATTACAATATTTAGTCCATTAAAAAAAAGCCCCACTAGAAAAAAATCTTTGAACTTCGAGTTATTGCCGAGTGACACAAGATTTTTATTGCTAGGGTAAGTTTTAAGTAGTGTGTTGTTTTTACCAAGCTGATATATATATATATATATATATATATATATATATATCCATATAAAGATTTTACACACCTATTAAAATAATACATGACTCTACATATAAACGTCAAATATATACAACCAAGTTAAGAAAGTAAGTCATAATATATAATGCCGAGCAGATTTCAGGACATTTATTAAACATAACATTACATAAACTAGATATAAACTATATAACGAAGTTACGAAAGTAAGTAAAGACACTCAAGTGATAATATACAATTCAGGGCCAATATCAGGACATCATTTAAGGTAATAAACATAATATTTCATAAACTCAATCAATTATTGCCTATGGTCAACATCTTTAATATACAATTTCACGTCTTGTGGATTTCCATTATACACCATAACCAAGATTATCAGCAGATTTAGTCAATATACATTTTCGATTGTTTGGGACTCCTGAAACCCGATTTTGTTAATATACATTTTCGATTGTTTGGCACTACAATTCACATCGAGTACCAATTCACAGAATGCATTTTGCGATTTGATGCATCATGACCGTTGGTCCGTAACCTAATGCATGAATCTACAGGTTCTCCTGAGACTTTAAACAAACAACAATCTGTATTATCAGAAGCGCAATGTTCACTTTTTAGCCAATGAATTTCCGAACCAGCTGCACTCGTTCGCTATTGTGACGTAACAATACCTAATCAGGTTTGTTACGATATGACCATCACACGGAACCACGTGCCTGAAAGGTAATTATGATTGACGATTAATCAATGCGCTCGTTGAAATATAACGATATAAGATCGTATTCTTAACAAAAATATTACTGAACTTATTAAAGGTTTGTGTTCCTAATTTAAATGCTGGGTCATTTGGCATATTATGTAAGAAAGTTTTCAAAAAGTAACGGACCTATGTTAAAAATGTACATTTCTTAAGGCATCGCGTGCTTTACATCCCAGAACACTGGATACCACTTCTAATTTTGTGTAAGTTCACAATATTTTGACCAAGCGTGTATAGCACCGCGAAGATGGATAAGTTCTATTCCAACATATTCCGGAAGATGACCGATATATGTCTTCGATGATAATTTAAGGTACAAAGACAAATCCTAAACCGCCGGCAAAATAAGATATACTACCCAACGACTGTTCTATAAATTGAGGATGTAATGTATATTGGTAGGAGGGACGATAGATAAGTTTATAAACATTAATAAACACACGACTTATAAATTACTCAGGGAATATGCTATTTGTCATTTCGACGGATACATGTGCAATATAGCGAACCGGAAAATTCGACCGGGAAGCGTCGTTTCCATCGAATTCAAAATGGCAAAGTTTCTTTTATGTACCCGTCAATGTGTACTGTACATCCGAGGGGCTAGGCTCAGTTTCATTGTTAGCCCCGCAGACGTCGCCCATGACGTGTGTGTCGAGTTCACATATATGTACCCCCTCCCCCGCTTTACTTACCTGTACATGAACCCCAAGGCCTAAAAAGTTTAATCACACGTTTGGTGTACAGGTAAGTTCATCAACACACACAAAAAAAATTCGGCGCCAGGCGTATACATTTTAATAATTACTTAGCTGGGTTTTTTTTGCAGTGTAACATACATAAATGAATATATTTCTGTTATGTTGAGTGGTTAAAACGGCGACATTTGACACGATATGTTGGGCTATAGACAGTGAAATGACGTGCCATCACGATATTTGTGTAGGAGACGATGGGTCGAGATCATTTGTCGTACTGTTTGACAACAATCTCTTACTCCCCTCTCTCGCTTAATTCCTGAGGTCAAAAGTCATATGTTTTTATTGGTAAAGCGCTGCTTTTTGTAACCATGATAAGTTGTCAAATTAGATAACCCCCAGCGCTCGATGCAAATATACAATGATACGTAGACAAGAGTACATGTTAACTACGGTGTTACCTGCACTGCCCTCGTAAACGGCATCCGTTATAGATGAGTCCAGTCTAATAAAGCAGGATTTATTCCAAATAATTCCTCATGAACAATCCGTTCAAACTACAGTATGTATGATTAATCACGAGTATCATGCACAGGACAGGCCATGTTAGCTATTTATAAAGCAGTTGACTGTCCATGTATATGTAGATGATAGCTCTTTGTTTTACAATGCTTACCATGAACACAAATGCTCGAACATTGCTAAATAAACACGGGATTCGACAGGGACAGCCGATTTCCCCCTTCTGTTTTATAATAAAATTCGAAATCCAGCTAATAACATTAGGAGATAATAGTTTCTAAATTTAAAACTTCAGGATATAAGTACTTAAAGGACTTAGCTGTCGGCAGATTTCAAAAGTTTACAGGTATATCATGATTTTGATTGATAATAGCCCTGGAGCTAATATTTCATTTGCGTGCTATATTTGTTTTGAGATAGTAGTAGTAGTATTTAGAAATAAAATAAAATTTCTTTCTATTTGTGTCCAGACAAGGCTGAACTCTATGGTTAATATTTTATACAACACTTACGAAATAAGAAAGTGTTGAAACGTAGCACGATTTGAATTATCTGGAAAACAATTGTCCGAAGATATACATGTACATTTAACCATTGCATGGACCCAAAGGGGTGTTGCCCTGCTGTCAACCTTCGCCAATCACCCGCCAAAGGGATAGTATTTTATTTCCAGTGACACACACAATCCGCAAAACAAAGGAAGTAGCATGTCACGGACTTTTCCCCGTCATTCCGTTGACGGCTTGCCCTCTTTTAACTTGATAACCGAGCTTATACTTATCAGGCCTAAAGAGTATATTTAGCAGTAAAAGACTTCATTATCAAGCAATACAAGTAGTAGAAATGATCCGTCATTCAGTGTGTGACTGAACGCTTAACGACAGTCGACAGACATGCTATTCAAGGCTATTGAACCGTGAATAGACCTCTTTAGACGAGATAATCAAGTCACTCCGGGGGTTTCCCCGTTCGACGAGCTTGACAGCAGGCTTTTGGCGAGAGCCATTTGCAGTTTCACAATGTGCTTTACAATCATCTTGTTCGTTTTGGATTCAGCCACTTGACTGGCAAGTCTAGCATTTTCCGGCTATTGAAGGCAAACACTTACACTTTTATGTTAGCAATCAAAAGATCCGCTTTTCATTACTTGGCGGCTTTCGGAAAAGCCAGTCGCCATAAACTCCAAATCATTGGGCTAATCAATCATTTCAATGAAGTTCCGTTTCTGAACTTAACATTTGTTTCCAAGTGCTGCAAAGTCGTAACAGATGTGTTCCTTAAACTTCAGCCATAATATTTCAACTATCTTCAAAACTGCGATGATAGGCGTAAACAATAAAAGAAATATGTTATCAACAATGTGGCTTACTCAGTCGACCTTTTCATAAATATTTACTAACTGCTCACGGTGAATTCAATTTAATAAACTTAAGATGTAATCGACAACAACCCAGACCGCTTTATTTGGAACCTATAGGAGAGTTAAGGCAGGGGTTAGAACAACCCACATCGAGCTAATTGAAAACAAAACCGACCTTTCCTGGATTTTATTTGGAACCGACTGGAAAGACCACCGTTTGACAATTCCCATTTCCAGAATTCCGTGTTCTACGCAGAGGGGCCTTGTATAAGCTGGCGATGTGAAGGACATTTGCGATCATGGGTTATTAGCAATACGTTTCCACGAAAGACTCATTGCTACATCATTCCAATCGTCAGCATACCGTTATCTTTACATGATAATATGTTGCAGCAAACATCCGTCGCTTGTGTTGATATTAGGAGTAAAGTCTAATCCTTATGTTATATACCAATGCACGGTCTTTAGTTTGCCACCAGGGATTACGTTACACTTAAATAACAAATAAACATACCCCCCGATATCAGACCTAAAGCCATTTTAATCATCATATTGGTCACAATATCATTGATAACGTTCATAAACCATGAGCAAAGATAAGTCAGAATAGGCTAGGTACAACGGGTTTAGTATTCAAAAACCCATTAGCACTCAGGATCTAAACTATCTCCGAGGAATACTCCATCACCATAAACAAAACTACTCAAGTCAAGAATAATTCAGACAGAAGGAATCCTTACCACTTCCCCGAACAACAAGGCCAGGGTTTGCCGATCAAGAGAGTAAAGAAACTGGGTTTAACGTCCTTTTAATACAATACCGTGGACATTCTGAGATTAGACTTACCCCTGATATTTGTGAATCGGAAGGTTCCTCCCGACTCCTGCTGGAATTGGAACCCCTTCCATTAACAGAAATAAAAATGGCCAAATGCACTCGACAATACTATTGATTCTGCGTGGCAGGCAATGTGGGTTTTTTTTCCCTCTCTCTTGGAGCCACATTGTTCCTTAATTGAGCGGGAATCAATCTTATGGTGTTACAGTATAATCCGACTACGTTACTGTAACACTTGTAGTATTAAACTGGAAAGTGGACTCGTGTTTGCTTATGGTTCACAAAATGAATTATCTAACATATTACTTAAAAAGTTGGTATTTGTTCGAAGTATTTCTCGAGCAATATATAGATTTAGCTGGGGGCACGTGCTGTGAATCTACAACTGCGATTGGTTAACAGTTTCTATTTCGTCGCGTGACTAAAGGATTTTGTTGTAGGGAGTAAAAAAGTCACTTATAACTGCAATACCAATTATTTTGTCTGTGTAGTCACAGTTTCATAATCAAATATCAGCATATTATTAAACAAAGAACACTGAACTATAAAATTAATAGACTTTTTTTTTGTGCTACACATTTTTCATGACTTCGATTTCCAATGAGCATGATTCGTGGGCTATTTTCAGCCAGCAAAAAGGATCGAGCAAGGATGTCGTTGACATATTATAGAGCTACAGTGAACAGAACTTGACAATCGTGTCAATATTCCATGTAAAATTACAACATCTAGTGAAAAGGCGAACTCATTTATAACTGGAAATGAAATGTCGCTGATAAAGGAACCGCTTTTCTGCAGCAACTTTATTACCTGAAACGAAATGGGGTTTATAACTGTATTACTTTCCTGCGCTAAATGTATTACAAGAAATACTAAAAATACTAAAATGCTTTGATATACACTGTACATTATTCATGGTATGCAGAAAACCGTGACGGTAATAGAGACTACATTATGTATTTACTTATATTGTTTACCATCATAAATTATGTCTTGATATCCAAGACAGGATACGGTGACATATTTTTCAAGAGGTGTGTAATAAAATTACCGTCCTTTGTTATCTGTTCATTGTTCGAGTTGGCAGTGATGTATCCCCGAGGTCCGCGGGATTCAGGGGTTTTAACCAAGGTCTGCTTTATGCTTCATATGTATCTTTCTTTAAACGCACTGAGTCGAGACCGATTCATTGTCTTCGCCTTGTTGAATGTAACGAGAAAACCTTTAAAAACTCGGAGGTAGAGTACGAAATTATGGCTGTAATGATGATACCATGTATTTCATGTTAGTTTCGCATTCCTCTTACATACACACAAGCTCACCTAGAAACTAAAAGAGAAATAAATCTTTTAAATAAGGCCTGATGATACATGTTTCGTATCTTGATCATCTCTATTTAAACTTGATATCAGTTGACCCCGACCCCGATATATCCCAAACAGTAGAATTAAAATATTTTCAGTTTCTAAGTCTCTTAAAACCGTCTATCTTTCAATATTAAAAATATTGTTTCTTTTATACAACGCCTTTTGCCCAGGACCAGCTAAACAATCCAGTATTAGGCGAGTACCAGAAAGATGGTTCTCGTTGCTAAACGTTACCCAACGCAGTCACTAAACGGTTTCGGAGAATTGTTATTTAAATTTGTTGGGTGAAAAAATAAACTCAAAACACTCACTCACGGAATTTAACGATTTAGTCAAGTATGCAACCACGGAAACTCTGACGTATAATACCAAAGTATACGAGAAGACATATTTGACATTTTGTAAAATAATGTGGAATATTTACGTTTACCGGGTCGCCAGACGGCAGTCGTAGCTGTTCGTCGGTTTTTGCGAGGTTGTTTGAATTGGCGAGTCGGGTGTGGCGACTGTTACGGAAATGGAAAGCCTGTGGGACGTGCACGCAGACATATGAAAATTTCCTTCAATGTCCTATGGCGGAGTAAACACAATAGAGTGTTGTATAAAATTTGGCATTTGATCCGAGATAAAACGAAACGCAACCAATTCACAGAAGACAAAAAGTCATTTGCCACAGGCTATAGAGATTGAATCACACGCACTATGCTAGTTGATTTAAATTACCGTAGAGACTGACTTTAATGTAAGCATATTGCTTATCTTCCAACTCCACTACTTAAAATTCCTGCTTGTAGTTCTTCTCACAAACAGAACCGATTCCCTGTTTATACGCTAGTCTGTATTCGTGCGCACTTTGATACTCAATTATGTGTACCGAGACACACTGGGTAAAAATGATTACACGGAACAAGTCGCTCTAGATTCGTGTATGAATTCAATTTTAAAGTATAAGGTGTCTTAATTGCTCTATCAACGTAATGTATATGTGTGATGTGGTAATCATAATGATATTTATAAACTGAATTATTAAAAGGAAGATACGAAACTATTATTCGTAATATATTACCATACTTCCTCAGTGGCTAGAGAGGAAGGCTCCAACATTCTGCTATTTGATTTTTTTAAGCGGTCCTTGTTTCCTGTTAGGTCTAGGACGAGATAACCTTGTCGTGTTACACCTGCATAATTCCAGGAAGAATTATTCATCGAGACAAAAAAATATTCAGTTAATCGGGATTTAGTGTTAATATTTTCAGACGTTTTGACGTTGAAAGACGAAAAATTGTAATCTTTTGAAACCATGTTAAAACTGCTTGATATCTTTACGTGATGGTTTGAATAGGGATATATTTACACGGTAAACTATGCGAATAATATACTTTGATTGATATTTACATCTAGATCTTTAATTAATGGCTGTATGTTAACATATACGGTCAGATAAAGACATAGTCGAGATGGGAAACTTCAAATTTCAGAATAGGGAAAGTTTATGAAACGGAACGTACGTACGTACTCTTTCTGGTAAAACCCTCGATTACAACCAGTCCACTCACTTCTTATCTTCAATAGAAGGCTTGGTCCCGCTTTAACCACGTACATATTATCAAGGTGTTGTTAAACTCGCGGTCGTTGCTTCAGGTACATGCTCACTTCTACGATTTGCATTTCGACTATTGGGTATTAAATTAAGATCGATCGAGCGATCTCGGGGAAAATATTCGCCTAGAGGAATATAATATAGATTTGAAATATAAGCAAAAGTTCATTGTTTGGTTTATCGGGGAAAGCGACCGAGGGGAAGATGACAAGTTACGTGTTGCGTAGTCGTTGTATGTAAATAGAGCCATTTGTCGGAGCAAAATTTTCAACTTTAAAATTGAACACGTGGTCATAAAAATAACTAATTGAGCTAAGTATGGAAGAAATGTTAAAGGCACACTCTTTCCTTGTTTAAGATAAGATTATTCAACTTGAAAACATAATATATTATCTTAAATACGTACAAAAGTACCATCGATGAACTGTTTTTTTCTTGAATGTAAACTAACTTTATCACAGAGGTCAATTCGAAAGCATAATGTAATATCTTAAATATGAACAAAAATACTTTCGACGAACTACCTTTTCTTTCTTCAGTGTAAACTAACTTATCACATAACAGAGGTCATTTCGAAAGCATAAAATAGTATCTTAATATGAACAAAAGTACTGTCGACGAACTACTTTTACTTTCTTGAATATAAACTAACTAATCACATAACAGAGGTCATTTCGAAAGCATAATATAGTATCTTAAATATGAACAAAAGTACTTTCGACGAACTACTTTTACTTTCTTCAATGTAAACTAACTTATCACAGAGGTCATGATGTAAACCGCAAAAAAATACGTTTTGTACGACCAAAAAGAAGTAGTCAGTTTATTTATAATTGATGGAGTATATATATATACATATACCACAGGTAGAAGGAACCTTGATAAAGAACGGGCCTGTTTAGTTTATAGGAAACTATAAAGTCTTCGTTGTGGATTGTTTAGTTTAGAGTTAGTCAAGTATTCTTCAAGTAAAGGGTCGTCTTTCCCGTTGATAATAATAGTTAAGTAGTGGCTAATGGACGGTTGATATAGAAAGTATACACAAACCATAGATAAGGTACAATAACCTTACCGTACCTTGTTGATTTAAGTTCAGTTGAATAGCTATTTATCTTACTTAACGTGGCATCTTGTCTTTAAAATATGAACAAACCCACGTTTCTTAAGTGACATAGATACCACAATTATAGTGTAATATTCAAATTAAATATCCCGTGCTTTGAATTATAATTTATACATTGGACATCTAAATATATATTTGTACTGAATAATAATGATCTCGAATACGGTATATTTTGATTTAATTTTTAAAGACATTAATATTCGAGTTTTGGGTTCAAATATATTTTCCTATTTACAAAAAAGCACATTAAAATAAATTCTTTCCATTATGATTTTCAATAATGTTCTGCCAACATAAGCGATAATGACTCTAAAAAGCATATATGATGTTATGGCAGCCATTGCCATAATCGCCTAGCCTCTCTTTTATATTCGAAATATCGCGCATAATTTGTAATTTCAACCCACAAAGTTCGGTTATAGTTAATTTAGTGTTAGTTTTGTTTAAATACCTGTTTGTATATTTGATGGAAAGGTCCGTGTACATACTTCATCTAAGTTCGACTTAAAGGGCTTGAGTCTCGCCGTGGGATACGGTTTGAGACAGCGCTATTAATTACCGTGTACACAAACAGGACGAAACTGTCACCTTTTGGTCTCAGGTGAATCAATCTTATCCAACTATGTTTAAGTAGAACAGGTTAAATGATATACATGTACACGCTAACTCATGTTGGTAACAGTAACGCCTACTTGTGTACATTTATATTGTACATCCTGTGATCAGAGAAATGGAATGAAATGGGGTTTAAACGTCCTACTTTTCTGCTCCGACTGGGTTAATGAAGACGGGCATACGCCATACTGTTGCTATGAGAGAATTTTGCCCGTACAGCAGCGCAACGGCGTACTCCTATATCGAATTCCAGTCGGCAAGGGTTCTTTTACGTGCATGCCAACGTGTACACGGGACTTCGGTGTTTCGTCTTATCTTAACGACTATACGTTGTCCCTTACCAGGCCTTCCTTCCTGCACCACTGACAAAGGGAAACCACACTGGAAAAGTCGGTGTGGTCGTATCAAGAGTTAAGGCAACATGTCCTCGTATGTCGCCAGAACATTCATGCCAATGTAAATGGTTTGTTCCAGAGCAAAGATAAGACCGGAAGTTATGTGTCTTTATAGGACATTTTAACCGACTGTCTTATCTCGTAATGGCATCCATCATTCCGGACGCTTCTCTATCTAGTTTCTGGATAATGCTAGCAGAGCGGGAAATACTATTTTATCAATTTCCTTTCTAACGTTTACATGTCATATAACACATCGTCTTCTGCCTACACAAATGACAAATGTTCTCAATCAGTTGCAATCCGACTACGCCATCGCTTACACTCACTCATGAGAGCCGCGGTGGTTCTGTGCTAAGGCGCAGGTTACTAACCAAGATGTTCCAGGTTCGATCCTGGTGTTGGTTGAGAAAGTTCCTTGGGATTTTTCAGCATGTTGTACCCTTGCCGTTACTGTTGCAGGACAAGAGGCTATGTAACGAACAGTGTCTAGTCCTTCGGATGGGACGAAATACCAAGTAAAAGAACCGTTGACAGTTACAATAGGATGAAGAGTAGGCGGAAACGCCGCTTCCTGGGAAACTAATCTCCCGCGTAACGCATGTCGGTCTTCATTATCCCGGTTGTTACAGAAAAGTAGGACGTTAAACCCCATTTCATTTGCACTCACCGATACCCGTAATAGACATATATATATTTAAAACCTTAATTAAAATGTACATGTATATTACTAAATGTATGTAAAAAGGATGTTTAAAGTAATTATGATATGGTGTGTTCCTACATTAACAACAGAATATACACTTAAAGCAAACAAACCGAATGTATAGTACACACCGTATTACACTGGTTACAGAACACACCAATGGCGGGTTGCTTGCTAATGTCGCCAGTCAACGGAGTTATGCCTATTAAGTATTCACTGTACACTTATCATTGAATCTGGATAGATATATTTATAATGACTTGGATGTTTGTTGTAATATAGTTGATTACTTAATAATGGTTGCATGACTGGATACAAAGGAAAGCCAGTATATTGATAACAATGAACTAATCAAATACAGAAATGCTTTACTTTGTGCGCATTCATACGCTTTAGGCAAATGACGGTGTAAATGTACATTTTCTGCCATTGCAATTTATTAAATGATTTATAAAAGATTCATTTGCGATCACGTTTCCAGATTGTCAACAATGATAACATATTTTTTATTTATATAAAAAATAACAATAATGGTTAGAAAGAGATTGAGAACAGACATCACATTGATTCCTAACGTTTAATGAGCTTAACTCAAAGTGTTTTTTATGCACAAAATGGGTACAATTTAGTTGGGGTACATTTCCAACAAGTGTGTACAATTTCTACAAACCCGGCTGGGGTTTTTGGTCACATCCGAAGGACTATACATGTGCGTGGTTCCTTGTCAGGCTCTCCGTACTGTACCACTGACAAGGGGAAACCGTGACGGAAAATCCCGAGAAGTCTCTCGGCCAACATTGGTATCGAACACGGGACCTCCAGGTGAGCGAGTCAAGGGATTATCCACTTAGCCACGGCGGCTCTCACAATTTCCACAAAACATACACAAGGGGTGGGTTATTTAATACACTCTATCGAGTAGACACAGCGCATTCTAAATATATTTGAGGCAATCTCTATGAGCTCTTTCCTAAATTAGAAATCATATGTCAGCACACAATCATAATTATAACAATACTCAGATACACGAAGATGGGGAATTAAGATAATAGACTTGATAATCGCACAATAACGCTCTATACCGTTAGATGGCGCCAGATAAAATATCTGACAAGTTCTACCAGTCGTGAGGTTTTGTTTACCGTTTGATCAAAGATCTCATAAATTCCCGCCACTTTATTCGTCTGGCACCAGCAGACATAGAAATGATGGGCAAAAACACATAACATAATATTATGTGTCATTCGATGTTTATTAATATATCGTGGATGGAGTGATAAACTTTCTGTGCACAATTTTATAACCCAAGATTTTAGCATGTGAATCATTCAGCCAGGAATGAAATCGGGTTTAACGTCCTACCGTTCTGTACCGAACCTGCTTATGAAGACGGGCATACGCCATGCAGTGTGCTAAGGGGAGAATTTTGCCCTGACAGCGGCATTTTCGCCTACTTGTTCGTCGAATTCCAGCTGCTAACACTTAAGTTATGCAATATCAGATATAACACGACTTGCCTTTGTTTAATTGGTCTGGAAATCAATATTGCATACATGCCACAAAGATATGAACATGTTGCTTCCGTGACGTCCGTCTGCAGTGTTCTGAGTTTCGCGGAATTTGGCGTGACGATCTGATACCGAGCGAGAAGTACGCCAAACCGAATTATCTTACAGTACTTGTAAATCTAACATGGACTTGCTTTCAAGTCATTGTTACCAATACGTATATAGAGATATTAATGCATTTCATATTACCTGTACTTCAAAACATACACCCAAACTGAGTAAAATCAAATATCTACTGCGTTTCGCTTTATTTGTAATAATTACTCCATTGTTATATAACAGACAGGAAAAGAACCCGAAACGCAATTGTGATTTTAATTTAAACCATACACTTACAGTTTTCTATTCAATCTTAAGTCGAAGTGTTTCTTAATGTATCTTAGTAATGCGATTAGAATTTCAACCAACTACATGGCGGCCATTGAAACAACGAGATCTCGTCACGCCATAGTTCACAGACATTGTCTCCTTTTAACATGATGTATGTTGCCATGTCTCCAACATTCTCTCTGTACGGCATAATGAAAGCAATTAGTTGATTTTACTACAAGCTAATGTAACATCAGAGACGAGAACACATCCGTGTATTCTCTTCTAAGTTGACAGACATAATTACTATTAAAAATACATGAACCAAAACAAACAAATAAACGAAACGAACATGAGACATAAGTTTGCTTTTGTCACGATACACATAATTATACTTGTACTATCGACAACTTTTTGAAAGTACTCGTTCAACTAATCTGAATCTGCCAATAGGTTTGATGGTGTTCTGTAGGAGTTAAATAATAACAAATCGTCTTTTAATTGACCCCAGAAAGCATACCCTGCCATCTACAAGACACCAGTTAGTCAATACTCATACAATGTACTCATTAGAACTATAGTCTCAACTTGGTATTTTTTTTTACAAATGGCGGCAGTCTTAGCAACCAACGGCTTAAAGCTACATTATACTTCTCACACTTGATGACTTGACGTTGTGTAGGCTAATAGTTAGAAACCAAGAAACTTAATTAAAACCAAACCACTCCCTTTAACATTAACTGCTTGAAAAATTCTAAAATTGTTTCTGAAACGAGTGGAGATAAGCAAGAGGCGTTCATTATAGTTGAAGTTATCAGTCGTAAAAAAGGCAATTTAATTATATGAACTGATGTAGTGTAATATTACAGCATGGCCTCACATATTTAGGGCGTCTGCTCAAAAGATAAACCGCCAAACTATCACAAACTATTATATAAGACACATGAAACAAAGAGCAGACACCTTACATATCAAGAATCATTTAAAGATAGTCAGCCATGTTTTGTTTTTATGACTAAATTTCGTGTACACCGCGAATTGAGATCTATCCTGATATCTTGCAGTTGCGCGGTCAATGACGTGTATCTATTTCTTCGTTGCTGAGACCTGGTCATGGGCTGATTAACCATTTTGGATAAAATGATAGCATCCAAAATGGCGCTGATATAGAATGAACTGATTAGCTTGCAACTGAACAAAATTTTAATAAAAGTTGAAAATAACAATTAACAAAACCTTTGGCAAAGAATGTTTCTTCGATGTTTCTCGCGGAAGCCACAATTTTCGGGGCCGTCTTAACAGAAAACTAATTAAAGGCCAGTTTTGTATTAATGGTTTCCTTTCTATTTTTCAGGTGAAATTCGATGTTATTGCAACGAGTCTGGATGTATTAGTACAGGCTACATGTGTAAATCAAGTATAGGCCAGTGTTACACGGCCGTCCGGGTGGAAGGGGAGACCACTCGTGCCACACACGGTTGTAGTTTACCTTCACACCTTGAACTTTGTAGTCAAGGTCAACAACTTGTAAAATCAACGGACACTAAAACTCAAGTGCCTTTTATTATGTGTTGTCAAGAAGACATGTGTAATTATATAGAAAATATAGACATTAATATTATACTTAGTACAAAATCTAACGGAAGTGCTCAAAAGGGTAAGTTGGGACTATTTTCTTCTTTATAATCTTACCTACGCTCATATTGGGAGTGGGGGGGGGGGTGCTAACGCGTGCGTCGATCATAATATCTGTCATTGAGTAAACTAGCGTGGTTTTGATTCCTAGATTGTACGTAAGGATCGCTCGTCCAACCCCGTGGATTATTTTCGGTTTCATCTCAATGCTAAAGACCCCTACGCGCAAGAGATTACTGGTGTGTTAACATTTTTCAAAGTATAATAAATTACGGTATACGAATTGAGTTATAAAGGCGTAGTAAAGTTGTTGTAATAGCAAGCTAATAGGCACGTCTTTAGACATTAGACAGAGTTATCCTACCAAGATTAGATCTTCAAAGAAGGAGATAATTGAATTAAAAGCTATTACCAGCCCAGCGCCGTATATATGAGTTGAAATTCTTTCAATGAACGATATTAGCTATAGAGTTCATATTCCCAGTACCTTTGAGAAACACAATGTCGGGTGCAAAGGTATTGGATCGGGACAGAATTCGAACTACGTGAATGTTTTTTCAACGCTATCGTTTTTATAAAACTTACTTCGACACATTATCATGTTGACTAATTCAATCAGCCAATGTAATTAATATCAAGCGACAACAATGCAACACAAGCTATGCTAAATGTTTAAACGTAATGTGCACGTAATTTTTTTTAAATGAAGAGAGAATGTCACCTCATAAAGCAAATCGACACATAACATTCAGCCGAGTCAATTTAATTCTGACATATTTAAAGCATACGATTATTAAGGCAAACTTTGAATAATAATAAAAACATTTACTAAAAAAAACTAGCTTGTACACAAAAATTTACTAGACAAAATTTCATCCTTGTCTAATATTTGGGTACTTGAATTCAGCAGATGAATTGTGCGAGTTTTTTCAAAGTAACATCTTAACGTTGAATTCATGACTAAACCAAGCCTTTTTACTTGCTTATTAAACATTGGATTATATTCTTTTTCTCTATTCACAACAAAGAACTGAGAGATTCGTGGTCTGATAATGGACGCCATTTTTTTGCCTAAGGTAAAGAAGATATGATCTCTCAGTTCAGCTTACCGCTCGGAGATTTTTATCTTTTTTCATTGAAGAATAGACGAAGAATTAGAGACTAGTCGCGAGCAATCAGACGCTTTTGGCATCCATGTGATGATGTTCTTGAAAATATGACTGATCGTGAAAACCTTTGATGCTTAGAAAAAAGAAAAGAAACGAAATTTGAATTCAAAATATATGGACAGTTCATTGTATAATATAGAGATTTAATCATTTTAGACGGCAATGGCTAACCACATTTTTGAATATAGCTACATTTAGTAAAGTGATAAAATAAAATGAGTTACTGGTTCAAAACTTTTGGTGGGTATATTATTATAGTCAAACCAATGTGTTCCCAACAAGCAATATGCCAGTGGATGATCTCGGAATTATCATGCAAATTTTAAATAACCCACCAACCATTTTTATGATAAGATTTAGATAGACTGCCTGGAAAACCCGAACATGATTAATTCAATCTGGAATTTCTTCACTTTTACTTGGCTTCGAACTTAAGTGGGTTCAAGAATGGCTCTTTAACAAAAGTTAGGAGTGTTTAGTTCGCCTTATCACTTTCATCAGTAGACAAGCAAATCAAACAATTTTTGTCAAATCTATGTGTATAGACGACCCGTAGAATATTTAATGAATCTCAAGTAGGCTCCCCATAATACAACACCCGCCATCTTCAACTGGTTTTATACATTAAAGTGAAGTCTACAACGTAATTTGATATTATTCAAGAGTTTAGTTAACAAGCATGGAGGATCCTTTTGTCCGCGCTGTTATTGATATCAATACAAATACATGTAAACACATGACCAACCTTGACACCCATCACAAATTTGGATATTGACGGCAACGCCCGATTGTACAGTTGGGCATGCGTACTAATGATTACGACCCTTTTGTTAATGGCGTATTAATGATTACGACCCTTTTGTTAATGGCGTTCGAGAACATACGTTTTGACACATCTTACTCGTGATGGTATTCAGTAGATTCGGCTTCTGAAATCCATGTCAAAACTTTCTCTACATTTAGTAGTGCCGGATGCCATACACGAGGCAGAGTATGCTTCTGAAATCCACGCAAAACTGTCTCGACATTTTGTAGTGACGGATGTCATACACGAGGCAGTGTATGCTTCTGAAATCCACGTAAAACTGTATCAACATTTATAAGTGACGGGTGTCATGCACGAGGCAGTGGATGTTCGCTAATACTCAGAACATCTGATACCACTTTTAAATTGAGGAGTTCATATAGTTCAGCAATGTTTTTATTTTGGTACTTTTGTATTCAATTAAAAAAAAATTAACACCCATTTAAATTGATTCGAGTACTGTAAAATGCTTTCTCCTGGTTCTGTTCATTAAAAATGCTAACCCGACATTGAGTTATTTTGTTCCAACTGTGACCCTCGTTGTGAAGCGAACTTGTGTTAATATGGACCTGTACCTATTTGCTTATTTTCTGTATCCTGTTACAGTCGAAAATATGTTATCTACGTATTCTATCTTCTCTCTATGGAAACGAGTATGCAATCACCTCATAAGTCATGCTGTGAGCATTATATAATATTAAACAACTCGCAGTCATTCACACAGCCCGATAATAAACTAATGTCCCTCAGTTATAGGAACTTTTATTACAAAACACCGTTTATATCGAAAGGAATGTTCTATTTCTGTGCGAACTGATGACTGGTGTACTTCCACCTCCTTTATCGTCAAATGTTTTAAACCCCTAATAAAAAAACACGCGCATTAAGTTCGAACAATAAAATAAGATTTATGAGTTAATTCAAAAAAAACCTCAAAATGTAATAGCAAGGAATTGATATGCATTAATCCAAGGGTTTTCTCATGAAATCCACGCAAAGAAATGAAAATCTACCACAGTCGACGAACCAAATATTGGTTGAAAACTCGGAGCAAACAGACTCCGATTTCTTTCCCGTTAGGCAGACAGGGAAATTCCTTGGAAAGAAAAGGGTAGACAATTTGCTGTGTGTTTTGGGAACAAGTTCAGTTAATATTGACCGACATTCCATGCAGACGTGTTTGATATTTACACACAGATCCCGGCTGGGAAACTTAAATAACGCTACATCGATTTCTGGCCATGCCTCCATCGGATTCCAATATGGCTGCCGACATTTTCAGGTCGTCTGCTTAAATACTAGACAAAACGGCGTCGTTATGTCCGAATGGTTCTGGGAAATCAATTATTTGTCAATGTTATCGTTTCTGTTGTTAAATATTTGATAGACTTGCGTTTATGATTGTCTAGGACGATATACGAGTACACGTAGAATCAAAGTGATACACAAGTTGATTTTTTTTTTTGGTGCACAACAAGTGAAAGTAGATGTACCTGTCAAACTGGATAAGATTTATATACTTTGATATTCCATAGAGAAGCAATTCAAACCATAACTTTTGTTAATCGCTGACAAGTGCTTTTATCGCTCTTCCTCTAGACTAGAAGACTACATTTATACTGTAGTGCATTAAATAAATAAATGTTGTTCTAGATATAAAGAAAAAAGCCTTCCCAGTGGAGGCGTACTGCCCTTATCGTTGCTCTGTTGGAAGAAGTACCGGTGTAGATTAACCGGCAAATACAAATAACCATAACCATGACAACTGACATTACATTATAATATACACCACGGTGAAGCCTGCGAAGCTATAAAAATTGCCAGTCGTTACCAGCCCCCCTATGTTGTTCGTTTATCACTCCGCTTTATTTATGACAAGATCTGGCCTATAAAAGCTTAATGGCAAATCCCTTTAACTAATTCTCATCCACTTCACAAGAAGACACCATCGCCGTGGGGATTGTCTCCCCTGTAGTTTAATGGCGTTCATGGTCTCTATGTCTGTGTCTATGAATTATGAATAATGATATTAACTATTTGGCAAGATTATTAAGCTATTATTGGACCAATAAAACTGCTTGAATATGTAGTTTAAATATTTCTAAATTTGTTTTTCCAGGTCACACCCAAAATGATGGTTCGGGAGAAAATCACGTGGTATATTCTAGGAATTCCGATGATAAGGAACCAGAAAGAGACCTGTGGTTCAAGGCCGCTGTTATCGCCGTCCCCATCGCTGGTGGATTTATCCTCGTGTTATTAGTGCTTCTCGCTGTGCGCATGCTCAGAACTGATTCTAGACGACATAGTCGCTTAATACAAATCAGGCAGGATCGAAGCCTGAAAAAAGCCCAACTTTATGTCACGGACCATTTTAGTGATAAATCCGGAAAAAATTGCTCATTATTTGCTGATAGACATAAACAAGTTACAAAGACTGATTCACAAGGAAGGATATATAGACCTATTAATGATACCAAAAAACAGTTGACGCCGCACGCGTCCATAGTAACGTGGGGGAAACCCTGTAAAAACGATCTAGCCACCATTGTGTGATGTCATGGATTTTTGCAGTGACTTTAACAATCCTCGTTATCGTGTGTCAGTGATGTCAGAGTTACATGTATGTATGAATGTCCAGTTTTGTAAATATTTTTTTGATAGGTACCTGTGAAGAATGAGTGTTTATTTTGTGAATGTTTTGATTGTGTTATTTGTGGTGGTGACCAGCTGTCTGTTATTATGTTAAATGTTTCAAACAGTGCTGTAGCCTATCTATCATAACTTGTCTTATTAAATATGCACACCCCGATACATCTCATTTACATTTATTTGGCTGGACAATAAAATATTAAAGTTTTGTTTTGTGTGGATTGAAGTTGGCCGAGATAGCGAGAACTGGTTTTGAATCCTTGTTTGTTTTTCAAAAGGTGGCGCTGACAAATTGACTTCCGGGACGAATGCATATATGTATACGTTCAGTGGACGTACTAAAATTGACTTGTTTTAAGGAAGAAAGTTACTCAGACACAGAGATTTAAGATGGTGACTCCATGATGATCTAATTCTAATGGTTTTTAATTAAACGTATTTTTTATTCTTACTGAAATATCTATGTGCCGATTGTGATTGTATATTGCTCACTTGTATGTGTATATGAATGAATGGTTGAAAAATATTGTGATAAACGTCAGCAGAAGATGGGTACACCGCCATATTACGTGATGTTATTATTATTTTATATAAAAGTTGCTTATTTATTATTTGTCCAAAATAAATCTCAAAGATTAAAGATAACATAAATATTATTAAACATACTTTCGTTTGTTATTAATTTTGCCTAATACGCGCGAAATTGTACATGTATTGGAATGTCTGCAACACGAGTCATTAAGCCCTATTCAATCTCAAAATGGCCAACATTTTGTATTGACGAATCATTAAGCCTATTCAGTCTCAAAATGGCCGACATTTTATGTTGACGGGTTCAGTCTCAAAATGACCGACATTTTGTGTTGACGAGTCATTTAGCCTTGTTCAGTCTCAAAATGGCCGACATTTTGTGTTGACGAGTCGGTAAACCCCATTTCAGTCTCAAAATGGTCAACATTTTGTGTTGACGAGTCATTTAGCCTTATTCAGTCTCAAAATGGCGGATATTTTGTGTTAACGGATCATTAAACCCTATTTCAGTCTCAAAATGGCCAACATTTTGTGTTGACGAGTCATTAAACCCCGGGGGTTTGGATGGCCGAATGATTAGCACATGCGTGCTGTATCATAAGGCCTGTCATTGAGTCAACTGGCGTGGTTTCGAATCCCCGGTTGTACGTGAGAAGGAGTAGGGTAGCTTGTCCAACCTCGTGGTTTTCTTCGCGTCCTCCGGTTTCCTCCCACGGCTAAAGACCCATACGCGCAAGTGAATTATTGAAATAAAATTAAACCATATGTTAGTCCCGAAATGACCTAGTTTGTGTCGAGTGGACGTTAAACCCCATTTCTCTCTCTCTCATTAAACCCCATTTCATTAAATTCATCCACATAACTAAGCTTTTGCTTATTATATTTTCATCCCTTTTATTACAAGATGGCCGAAATGAATGAATCAATGGGGTTTAACGTCCTACTGTTCAGTTTCAACCAGACTATTGAAGACGGGTCAAAATAGAGGTTAAATATAGTTAAAAACCATACACAATCTGAAGTATTTTTTATTGGGAAAAATATTCCCGGACACGGGTGTTACGACCTTCACTTGTTCGAATTCCAACTGTCAAGGGTTCTTTTACGTGCACGCCAACGTGTACACAGGATCTCGGCTTTTCGCCCCACCCGATCAACTAGACAGTAGCAATTCTAACATACGGTTAATTCTATGTTCTATTATATGTGCAATTCAAATGGAATGGGTGTGTGTATGTGGGGGGGGGGCTGCAGGCATATGGGTGTTTTCGTTTAGTCTTCTTCTCCAAATCGCAGGCCCACGACTCAAATAGTGTTAATATAGTACGTGTTTTAAAAACGAATGTCAAATTATGTTATTCGAGCAAGATTGGGGACATATTGACCATTTGTTGATGTGAACTAATGTGAGCGTGGTGTGACTTCTCAGTCCTGCTAAACATGATTTGACATGGGTTTTTAAAACAAGTACTTTAACACTATTTGAGCGGTGGACCTGCAATTTGGAGTGAATTTGTCATACACCCCTATTGTAAGACATGTGAAATATTAAAGGGGGATTATGTACGATTTAGATAAAGAGCTGGTCATTCCCGTTATAATATTTTAAAAAAACAGATAATGCAAAATGAATATATTGAACATTTCATTGAAGTTAACAATAGTTGTAGTTTTGACAAGATGTGTGCATTGATCGTAACTACCTTACTGATCATTCGGGTCTTGGCCTCGCTTCTCAATTTTTCAAAGGAAATCATTAAATGGACGACCCGTTCTATAAAATCGGAGCCATCCGATGACATCGAGAGCTGATTATGGTCTGGATAAGTTAATTAATGTCTAATTAATAATTTAGAAAGACCTGCAATAGGCAGATTTAGCTCTTACATAATGCCTGTTTAATGATGTAGCTTCACTATTAATAGTTTTCTCGGAGTTTCTGGCCAACCGATATAAAGGCATGTTCCCTTGATTGGTTTTATCAGGGAGCAACGGTGTCAGTGGCGAAGGAAAGGGGGCGTCGCAAAGAAAAGCCTCTGGTCGTTCAGATAGGACGAAAACCCGAGGTCCGCCCGTGTAGCCGTTGGCGTGCACGTAACAGAAAACTTTACAGTTGAAATTGGACGTATAGTAGGCGGAAACGAAATGAAATGAAATGGTCCTACTATTCTATTCTAACTGGACTAATGAAGACGGACGTAAACCATACAGTGTGCAATTAGGGAAATTTCTCCCGGACAGCGGTGCTATGGACTACTCTTATATCGAATTCCAACCGTATGGGTTCTTTCACGAAAAACTATTGGACCAAAACCCGAGGTTCCGTGTACTCATTGGCCTGCAGGTTTAAAAAAAATCACTGGCAGTTGAAAGTTTTTATCGAAGAAGAGCATGCTGAAACGCTTCTGTCCCGGCAAAATTTTCCAAATTTCTTAATCCTGGAACACACCTCCTTGCACTACGCATTTTCATTAATTAGCTTTAATTTCTTCTCTTTGATGTTTTGTTTGAAAGATATCAGCATATAAGTAATACAAATTCGAAGAGTATTTTTAGCTTTTAATTATTCGCCATTGAAAGTCAAATGGGTTTTTAATAGCTAGCTCAGAAATTAATGTGTAGTTCCACACATAAAAAAAAGAAACTGACCAGTTACAGAACCGACCACCGATGATGACTTCAACCGTGTTAAGCCCATAACTTGAACACAGCCACGGTAAATGTTGAACACTGGTTAACAATTATGACAAGGAAAAACGTTTTCGCCAAAAAAAATCGACAGATTCAAAACTGAATCGCCAAAATTATATTTTTATTGCAACTGGCGATTTGCAGGATGGATGCTGTATGACTACGTGATTGTTTCTTTTTGGGAGGGGACGCGAAAATTCATGTGGGCGCAAAGTCTCTAAACCCATTACAAATAGTACTTAACACCTGTGATGAACAAAGTTAATATCTGTTTAGCCACAGGCACCGTTCGCGATAATGACCGAATGTGTTAAGAATGAATGCTTTTTCACGGGGGGAAGGGGGGGGGGGTATTGTCCAATAGCATAAGAATACATGGGTTTTATTCTCAAATCTGTCTAGCAATACAAACGTCTGATCTTCAAATGCTGTGAGTCCCCAAATGGCGGTGAAACACAAGAGGTTATCGTCAAAATGTCACAAGAATGTAAGGGTTTTGTGTTTAAATGCCATACGAAAGCAAGGCTTTGGTCTCTAGTTGTTATAAGAAGTTAAGGACTTAGTCTTCAAATGTCGTAAGAATACAATGGCTTCAGACTCCAGTGTCGTAAGTATACAAGGGTTTAGTCTTCAAATGTCGTAAGAATACAATGGCTTCAGACTCCAGTGTCGTAAGTATACAAGGGTTTAGTCTTCAAATGTCGTAAGAATACAATGGCTTCAGACACCAGTGTCGTAAAGGTTTAATCTTCAAATGTCATAAGAATGCAATGGGTTAAGCTCCAAATGTCACAAGATTGCAATGGCTTAGTCTCCAAATGTCATAAGAATGCAGTGGTCGGGTCTCCAAATGTCATGAGAATACAATGGGTGAGTTTCCAAATGTCATGCGAATACAATGAGTCAGTCTCCTAATGTCATAAGAATGCAATGTGTTAGTCTCCAAATGACGTAAGAATGCATTGTGTTAGTCTCCAAATATCATAAGAGTGTAATGTGTTAGTCTCCAAATGTAATAAGAGTACAATGGGCGAGTCTCTAAATGTCATAGGAATTCAATGCGTTTAGTCTCCAAATGTCATAGGAATTCAATGCGTTTAGTCTCAAAATGTCATAGGAATTCAATGCGTTTAGTCTCCAAACGTCATAAGAATGTTAGGGTTTGGTCGCAATACGTCATCAGAATACAGTGGACGAGTCTCCAAATGTCATAAGAATGCCCTGTGTTAGTCTCCAAATGTCATAATAATGTAAGTGATGTAAGAATTTAGTCTCCAAATGTCATACGAATACAATGATGTAGCTTCACTATAAATAGTGTACTCGTATTTTCTAGCCAACTGATATAAAGGCATGTTCCCTTTATTGGCTTTATCAGGGAGAAATGATGTCAGTGGCGAAGGACAGGGGTTAGTCTCCAAATGACATAATAATGTAAGGGTTTAGTCTCCAAATGTCATGAGAATATAAGGGCGTAGTCTCCAAATATCATAAGACTATAAGAGTTTAGTCTTCAAATGTCATAATAATGCAAGGTTTTAGTCTCCAAATTACAATGGGTTAATCTCTAAATTATATAAGAGTTTAGTGTCTAAATGTTGAATTATAGTGAGATATTATCCCAATATCTGAAGAGTTGATGTAAAACAGCACCTCATCCTTTTCTTGCCTTTATACAAAGTAAGCCTATCCTCTTACTGTAAATAAATGAATTAAGTCGGGAATAAATAAATGTGTCTTCTTCAGAGGAAGTCATTATAAGATATGAAATACATCAAGTTATTTTTGTATCATCTTATAATCAAAATAAACTTAAAAGAGAGTTAAGTTTCCCCGATAGACAGAAAGGCTACCGAAACATTTAAAATCCCGACTGCACGACGGTTATTTGGCAGATGGCGGAGGGCTACAAATCACTCTGACACAAATCTCTTGTTATCTCGTTTCTTTCGAGATGCGCACCACTCGTCATTTACGCACAGCAATCATCTTAGTTATAATTTGACGTTTTATAATGGAGTTAGTTGGTATAAATTGTTAAAATAAGTTGATAAAATGGCCCCAGTGAACCAAGAACACAGTCTCTAGACGGTAACAAGGCTCCACCATTGCGCCACGTTTCTTCTTCCACCGATTACATGGTAACAGTTGCCATAACTCACTCCAACCACAGCTCATGGTCGTTTTTCTGAAAATAAATTCTTTCCACATGAAACGAGCTTGTAGCTTTTTAAACGTTTAGCTTTAAAACATAGAGAAGAATTTGCATGGTTTTTTTTTTTAATTTTTTATTTCATTTGAAAATGGATTGGGGAACAGGCTTGGGTTATGTTGACTCCTCTCCAGAATTTACAAAAATAAATTTAATTTATGTACATACAGAACAAATACAAAGAGAGAGAGAGAGAGAGAGGCAGAGGGAGAGCGAGAGAGAGAGAGAGAG